TTTTGAAAAAAAAAAAAAAAAAAAAAAAATTACGCTATCGGAAAAAACAAATCATCCTCACCAAGAAACACCTTTTTGCTAATACAATAGCACAGTTTGATTATCCAGTTAACAAGTAAATTTTTATTTCAAAACATGTTTGAGTAAATTACTCTTTTTCTTGCTTTTAAATACGAAAGTTACTTATTTTGACGTCAAGGAATTACCAACTTTAACCAACTAAAGAATAATTATTTTAAAATTTACTTGTCAGTGACTTCTTTAAGCTTATCCAAACATCAAACAAGCACTGTGACGTATAGGCAAACAATTAAGATAAGAAATCAACCAAAAGTACGAAGGCATAAGCAGATAGTAAGCTGTAAACTAAATACCTGTTGCAGCCAAGACTAAGAACAGTTCGGATAATTCCATCTAATCGCATCTTCCCCTTCTTCCTTGTCACATCAATGGAAACCAAAACCGGCGTCCCATTCGGATAATCTTTCACGGATTTGGTAACCCGAATACCCATTTCCGAAGCCCGAAATTTTGACACCTCCGATGAAAGCTTTCCCAAACCCAATCTTTCTAAAGTAGTGCAGTATTCCAAATGGGAACGACTCGGGTCCCGTTTGTAAATAATTGCACCTTCCCATGGGCACTCTTCATCCTCATCTTCTTGTTCTACAATCTCTTCGCTTTGAAATTCCCACTTGTTACAACTGGATTCTTCGGCCTCGGTAATTAAGTTGGATTCAGTGGTACTGTGGGCTCTTGAGAGAATTAAGTTCGGTGGGCTGCCTGGTTGCTTCTGGAATATAGTAGTGGCATTCAATTTGAAGGGTTTTCGTAGTCTTTCATTGTGGTATAACTTAAATCGGATTAGAGTGGATGACGGAACGGCGGTTGTGCCTGTGGCGGTGCCGAATGCATGAATCATTTTAGCAGTGGATATGGGTTTGGCTTGGCAAAACATCTAGGTTAAGTTACTAAGCACGAGTCACAAGGGATTTTTTTCCTAGCTAGTGAAAATAATGAGATATGCTACATATGACAAAGGGGATTTACAAAGTTAGGTTATAAAATTAAATCTACATTAATTATTTTAAAAATAGATTTTTAAATCATTAGAAATCAAGGGTCCAGATTTTGCCAACACACTTTGACACTCCACTTTTGTACACCAACTTTGTAGGAGTAGAAGTATTCGAAAATAATAGGCAAACAAAGGCTCTTCTAAAGTGATTAATGATTATTTGGTCCTAATTTTGTTGTTAAAAAAATATTCAATTTTCTCCACTAATTATAATTGGAATCATGCTATATGTACAAATTCTTTTTACAAATTCCCTTACCCACTACTCACAACGAGAATGAGGATTACGA